AACTTCTGCTAGAGTTGGGGGACCTACTTCAATGTTCCATTCACGCTGTCTGGGAATGGAGGGTAGTTGTAGAGTCGCTGAAGGTCAGCTGAACTGTTCCCTAAAGTGTTTCGCCCATCGTTCTAAACGTCTGGACTGGGAATTGATGAGAGTATCGTCCTTTTCCGAAATAATCTCAATTACACTTGACTTATTAGTTCCAGTTTCTTTTATTATCTGTAGAGCTGTCTTGTGTTCCCTATGGCCGCCGCCTTTTCCATCTCTTTTGCTTTCGTTGCCCACCACTGCTCACGGTCGTTTCTTAGACTTTTTCTTAACCTGGATCTGATTTGTTGTCGCTCTTCATCATGTTCGGAACCTGATGGGACTAGTTTGCGAGAATCCATCAGTGTGATAGACTTTGAAAAAATCCACTGGTCCTTTGAAACTCTGTGGTTTAAGTTGCTAATAGATGCCACTGCTGCTTCCACAGCTGCTTGTATGTCTTTCCAAGCAACATCTGGGTCAGCCTCGTCTTCAGAACTACCTAAGTGTGAACTCAGTTGTTCTTGGAACCTATTTTCGGTTTTCTCGTTACTCAACTCAGTTCTAATGGGTCTTTTTAATGTGGCATTTTTGCGTCCAGTGAGGCGCAAGCAGATGCGTGCCCGTATTAGGGCGTGGTCGGAGTCCAAGCAGGTACTCCAGAATGAGCGACAATCTTCTACCGACCCTCTCCAACGATGACTGATGGCAATATGGTCTATTTGAGTCCATCGTTGGTTTGGTGTTGGGGGTCTCCATGTTAGACGATGTCTCTCCTTATGCTTAAAATTTGGGTTTGCTAAAAATTAACGATTGTCTGAGCATAGTTGCTGCAGACGATCACCATTATCTGTTCGTTGTGCCGGTATACTAAAATACCCACCTGAATGCCTTTCTGTTTGGTTTAAGCTACCTATCTGAGCATTAAAGTCACCCCTTACGAGTACTATGTCTGAGCGTTTAGCTTTCTGAAGAAGTTCAGAAAGCTTTCTGTAAAATTCATCCTTCACATCATCTGAGCTGCAGTCAGTGGGAGCGTATACAGAAACGACAAAAAGGCAACGACGTGTGTCCCTATCCTTCCGAGTTCTTACGTAGCCGTTTAGCCGAACAGCACATAGACGACTGTTGACGGGGATCCACTCTAACAGTGCTTATTCCGCCCTCATGCTTAGTGCTATGCCTACACCTGCCAGTCCACGAGAACTGGCCATCGGGTCACCAGATACACGTTGGGTGTATCTCGTTGGCTCTCCGTTTTGCCGAGGTGAGGTCAAGTGAATGACCACTCTGGGATCCTGTATGCGTGTTTCGGAGACACAGCATACATCAATGGTACGAGATTCTAGGGTTTTAGCCAAGGAAGCCTGCTGACCGATTTGACATAGAGTGCGTACGTTGAAGGCTCCAATGTGTAGTTTGGAGCGAGGTTTCAGTAGACCTGGGACAGTGTTTTGAGCACTAGAATCGTTGGCTATGGTGATACTTGAGGAGGAATCCGAAAGAGGAAATTTAGAGAGGAAAGTCGATGTAAGAAGAATAATAGGAACTGAGGAGGGAGGTTGATTATGAATACAGTGGTCTTGAGTGCTGTTAGAGGCATGAGGGCAGTTATCACTTCCCGGTTGCCCACACCGTGGAAGGGTTCTTCTGGAGGTACCTTAAAAGGAAATCGGATTAGAAGTGTTCTTAGTGACCTGTGAGCGTGACCGCAGTGCCCAAGGGACAACTGATTGAGGTCGATCACACATGACCTTTTTATGGGCAATTTTTGTGTTAGCTCCGTACTTATTGAGACCTTACCGCCGGAGACGGATATCCGTGGGATAAGGCGAGGTGTGCATTTTTAGAGTCGACCTTTTCTAACCCCACCCCTCCTTGCGGGAATGCAGCATCGCTGTCATGCTGGTTGTCTGAAGGAAACACCTTACTGTTGTCACACTTCTGTACAGTCAGCAGTACGACTTCGCCTTCAGACATTGGATTTGTTGCTTTTAGTCTTACCGCTCTTCAACCGACCTTTCTGACGTGGTAGGACCTTGAGAAACAGTTGTTCCAGTCAGTATAGCTCGATTGTTTCATCACGATAGGCAAGCACGACCACCACGGCAAGATAGCAACAACGGTCGGGAAATAAATAGTCTGCCGCAGATCAGAACATTGAGTCTAGAGCATGTCTTTTACGAATACACTAATGTTTAACGATTTGTTCCTAGCTATCTGTCCAAAATTCACATAATTATCACTCACTTATTTAAATTTTGTTTTATTAACCATTCATGTGTATTGGTAGTATTGATAAATTTTATCACGGTCAAGTAAAAATGAGGTTGAGAAAATCTCCCCGTAACTAAATTAACCGTATCAAACTAACTGGAACACTAGTTGGAATTCTTATCCACGGTATACTTTTGTTCCTTCAGTTAGCCTACGAATACAGATGCATTTGGAATTCAACTCATATGGACAACTTACCGGCATAATCGTTATTTGATTTCATAATTTAAACCAAAACTAATACCAATATTAATATTTCTACAACATTCATTACTTTAATACTTCTAAACACAAAATACTTACTACCTATACGTTAAGTTATCAACCAACGGCTATTAACACGCATCGTTTTATTATTATTATTAATATAGTCCTATTTTTTATAGCTCAAATAATCTTCATCTAAATTTTCATTGTAAGCGTGTTAAGCATGAAGGCAGATATTTTAAAATTGATACGATACAGTGAGTTGGTGTAGTCGATGGTGTGACTTCCACGTAAGATCTTATGGATTAGGCAGTTATATCATGACAAATCTACAAATTTAGGATTAGGTCTATTATTAGAGCAGTACTAATATTATAGTAGACCATAATTCTACATTACCATCCGCCTTGGCACAGCAGGTACGACGGAATGCTACAGATCGATACGAAACGAGTGTATAACGACAATTCGGTAAGCTCAGAGAAAATTTGAAATGCAGGTGGCACAATCTGCACTCAAGCAGCTCAAGAGAATATTCTCATACATAAACTACAGAACAAGGATGCATCATTGGATTCCCAACCTAATTAAAGTAGGAAGTGACGCTGAAATGATAGAAAGAGATCAAGAAAAGGCAGAGGCTATGGTTGACCATTTTGGGGCAGTTTTCACTCAGGAACCTCCTCTAGAGAAAGAACCAGACCCAAATACGGAGTCTACAAACCAGCTGCTCAACGTGAACTTCGACCAATACGATGTGCTTAAGGCTCTTAGCACCCTAAACATGGAGAGGTCAACAGGACCAGATGAACTACACCCCAAAATCTTGAGACATATTGCCCATTATATAGCGGCCCCACTGACTGTGATATTCAATATGTCACTTGACCAAGGTGTGTTACATATGGACTGGAAGGATGCAATCGTCGCTCCCATACATAAAACAGGTCTGCGACAAGTTCCATCGAATTACAGACTCGTAAGCCTCACCAGTGTTGTAATTAAAACACTGGAGAGAATAATCAAACGGACAATAACGGCATTTATGGGAACCATTAACTTGCTGAACAGCGCACAACATGGTTTTAGGAAGGGTGTATCCTGTACAACGAACCTCCATATAGCTAGGGAGTTCTTAATTAATGCGCTAGACAACTGAAACTCAGTAGATGTTGTCTACATAGATTTCAGTAAGGCTTTTGACTAGGTGCCAACTAATAGACTGCTATTGAAGTTGGAAAACCTTGGTATTGCCGGACCTCTTTTAAAATGGAATAAAGATTTCCTAGCAGGTCGTAGACACAAAGTAAGAATAAATTCCAAGTGCTCTATCTGGAGACCAGTACTTAGTGAAGTACCCCAAGGTTTCGTCCTAGGTCCTTTACTTTTTATAATGTACGTTAATGATATAACAAGTATAGTACAGTCTCCAATGTTATTATACGTTGATGTAAAAATTTGGTGAGTAATAACTGGAGACAAAGACGCCTTTACTCTTCAAACAGACCTAAATAACATGATAAACTGGTCTAAAGAGTGACTGATGTTTATCAACTCAGAAAAGTGTGTCTACAAGCACTTGGGGGATTCAAAGGTTAATACATACAACATAGGGGATGTGTCATTACCAGTAGTCCGGTCTCATAACCATCTAGGGGTGATAGTAAGTAATGATCTTAAGACGACGGCTCATTGCCGGGAGTTCGCAGCCAAGGGGTTTCGAACCCTCTGGGCTTTAAAACGGACATTCACTAAGTTAGATACTACCATGTTCACCACAGTATACACATCCTTAGTGAGAACTAAGCTAGAGAACTGCGTTCAGGCTGCAAGCCCCCGCTTAAAAGATGACTCGGACAAACTAGAAGAAGTACACAGGGCAACTACCCGTGCAACACCGGAACTCCGGGGTTTATCATACAAAGAGCGGCTTGAAAAACTGGACCTCTTTACTCTGTCCTATCGCAGACTAAGGGGAGATCTAATTTTAACGTACAGAATACTGAGAAATGATTTCGGACCTAAATTATTCTCTCTCTTTCTTCCCAATAGATCGGGACACCTCAGCGAAAATAGCAGGCGAGTAGAAAAGCCAAGAACGAACAAAATACTCGTGGCATACAGGTTTTCACACCGAGTCATCAATACTTGGAACCTGCTGCCTGAAGCAGTGGTGTCCGCGCCTTTCATTGACTCTTTAAAGAGAAGACTCGACACTCACAGAAGCATACTAGAGGAGGAATAACATAGGCCGTAGGTTTTCTGTCCTTACTACACAGATCTGAATCTGAAAATCTCTCAGATTGTTTCGCCCACACCAGACTTCATACTGCCCGTGGTTCGGATGAGTTAAAAACACTTAACATTAGCACCTTCTGTTAAGATATTCAGAGTGAGACTGGATCTCCACAAATTGCAAGGATTAATATAGGTCGGTAGACTTAACCTTGCCACCGAAGACTGACCATGAGGTAAGATATCTACAACCGTTTGAAGCATTGAGCTTACTTGGCGGCTAAGGTAAAATATGCTCCACTTTTAGTGAAAGTATGTGTTCGGTAGTTTTCTATCGTTTTGTTTCTATGCATTAGAGGGCATTTAAACATATATTTAAAATGTTCACGTAGTTCATCTCATAAAAAACCTAACAAGTGACATTTTGCAGGTTAACCCGCCACCTATAGGTGGCAATTGTTATATATTACAGTTGCAATCAAATGATTGCGATTTGCAATTACGAATTTATTTATGGCTACAATCATTTGGTTAATAGAAACTCATCGGGGTGATATAGTTGTATGTTCTGTTACATGAACCTCTCGACACACTACCCTCAGTATCTTAATCTTGTATATACTTACTTGCAAGAAAGTAACCGTTAACACTTCAGCTTTTAGTTCTGCCCAAGACTGGAGCAGATAATATTATTATTACGTAAACTGACAAATACTAACAGATTTTGTAGTTTGAATTTACTCGGGATGGCCAGGGTTTACATAAGATCATGGTTTTTTGCGTTTTGTTTTCAGATTCACAGTATATTAACAAATCGTTACGTACCGAGTGGCATTCACTTACAAGCGAAAATGGAAAACATTTTGCCACCAATGAATTTTATTTATTCATAAACACTGATGGAGAAAAGTGTAAACTTCTTGTTGAACAAGAAAGGTACTTTTCAATATTTTCAAATTAAATGGCATCTTTAGAAAAAGATCAATCATCAAATAAAACGAATGTAATGAATGAATCGTTAAGTCAGAAAGGTAGTTAAGTACTTTGAATTCATAATTCTATGCTAATGTAGTGACTGAAACCACTTCTGACCTACTTATTTCACTTGCAAATGAACCTTCACTGGCTTATTTTCATATTCAAGAACATATTAGAAAATCAGTTCCAGAAATCTTGAAATACCAAGTTGAAAATTTCTTATATTTTTGTAATATTCCTTATATGTAGTTGAAAGTCGAACATTTAGATTCACAATTACGTGGTTCTTGTTATGATCTTGACTATGCACTTGAGTAAGTCTTGTATCCTTAAATACCTGCTTTTAACGACTATAAATCGAAATGTTAGAATAATGGTCCAAACCTCCATGGCGAATACTCAAATTGTCTTCGTAATTATCCAGAGAAACTCAAAGATTACAAGTTATTAAGTGATACAAATATGCATCGTTTATGGTCTTTACATCTTATGTCAATGTGGTAAAAGGAGATAAATAATTAGTAGCTATAAAAGTAAAACCTCTCAACTAGTCAATTTACTTCTGTAGATGGTAATACATCTATCCACCACAGTTCACAACTAGTCTTCCCGATTATTTATTACACTATAGTTTAAAACCTCATTGACTAACGTCTTTTTCTTGCTTAAACTGTGATGCCTGACAGCAATACTTACTTCTTGGTCCCGCCACACTATCGATGCTATAGTAGAACTCATTATTGGTACTTGTATTCTACACATGTTTATCAATGCAGTATGAATCAGTTTGTACTGTGTGCTCTCTTTACTCAAGTCGGATAACTCCATAATGATCATAAGTAGACAAATGTCAAACAAGTTCTTCTTGTCTTTATTTAGATTTAATCTGTAACGGCACATAAAGTCTAATGCAACTCTAAGTACCTAAAGTAGTTTTTTATTATATTTGTGTGGTTTAAATAGGGTTTTAAAAGTGTACATCACAGTTAATATCAGAAACTTAATTTTTTTACAAATCGATCAAGATGATATAGTTCACTCTGTTATTTAACTCTTTTTTTCTGCCATCATATATGTATTTAGTAATGTTAGAAGTATCTCAAAGGCTACAGTACATTTTAACCGGATTAATGAGCTCTTAAAGTCGAGCTTATTTGCTAAACTTCAGTTGGATTATGCACGCATGAACGCGTAAGTTCCTATTTTTGCATATAACACACTCAAAATATTACTACTCTATATAGTTATGATTCTATTATTTCTTGGAATTCATTAAATGAATATAACTTATCTCACTATCGAAGGGAACTACAATGACAACTGGAATTTTGTGTTTAACGCATAACGTATGGTACACTTGTTGACAAGTGGTTTAAATTAGACTGTCGAGCTACGCATATATGGAGATATCACCTACGACCCTACTGGAAATTGCGACTTTTCTGAGAAAGTGCTATGCGACGAATAAACGCAACACATATGCTCAGTCACAAACCATAACTACTATACGGTAGCTTGTGATATAACTCAGCTAACAATAACACCAGTGGATACGCTTTCAACTGATAACCATCTGTTGGTTAGGACTTAGGTGTTTAGTCCATAACTCATAATTAAAAAATAATCAACATGTTTCGCATAATGCAAAACTTTGGAAGATTTCGGAATATAAAATGTGCAACTATTGCTCTTCCAGTTAATAAGACAGTTATGTGAAGCAAAGCACTAATTCCAACCCTTTCAGAAGTAAGTTCTGGAAACTCAATATGAACCACCAATTCATTACAAAGTAAGTCCAGAAAGTGTATGATTCACATCGATTTTGAAAAGAATTACTCGTATACATTCTCAATGGTTTCTATTCGATTTATTATTTGCAGTCCACCAGTTGAAGTAGGCATCGATCTCGTCTCGTGGGATCTAAATGATGAAGAGCTGTTAAGGTATTACACTTGTATCTATACGATTACCAGCAATGGTAAATATGCAACAGAATGCTTTATTTTAATTCGCTAATCTTAGTTTGCTTCTAAATTACATGTGTATGGATGCAATGCTTAATCTTAATACATTGTTTGTTTGCAAGTTTTTGATTCATTTTTGTGTGATTTAACACGGTGGTTGTGTGTTTTCTGTCAGAGATTTCTTTTCCGGATTATTGCACTTACATGTCACTATCCTATGCTTTCTTTCTGGTCTGTTCGGATTTGTGTTTAATAAATAAAGTTAATTTTCCCCGTTTGAAATTCTCTTGTAGTTTAAGTCATAAAGAGCCACAAAAACGAAGACCAACTCAATGCAACCAAGATGTACACACTGACGTTTCTTTCCAAAACAAATGCACAGAGATCCCTACGAACTCACGAACATTAAGCCACATATCCAACACAGTGTCGACAGCAGCTGTACAAGTACGTGACCAAGCTATCAATTTAACCAGGAGAGTTTTGTGGACACAAAGTGCCGATGTGTCTTACTCTATCATCTCACCCATTTTATCTGATTCTAAAATTACTAACTCCTCGAGTTCATTTGATGAGAAACCAAAATTTTTGGAAATCTAGTTTAACAAACGAATCCTAGTAAGGGAATGAGCTCTGTAAATGAGTAGCTGAAACTGTTTTATAAGCAGCTACTTCTTATAATTACTGGCAATGTTGCACATTGTATCATACAAATACAATATTCTTATACCTATGGTTACATTTCTTTTAAATATAGTCATCGAGCTATTGTATAAATAGCGTAGGTGTCAAAACACTGACTAGGATGTAAAGTGATAAGTTTATCTGGTTGACGACTACTTAACTACATACTTTCCAAACACATACGTAAATAGATACTATCATGACCTTCACATTTTACAACAATTAGCGAAACAGGCAAAAACAAGTATATATTATGATAGAAACTACGGGTAACAGTTTAAAACAAAAAGTATGTACATATGAAAGAACTATGGTACAGTAAAATCAAGCAATTACAAGCGACGAAGAGAAGATTTCATTAACCGGGCTCGGGCTCTTGGACTGCGAGTTGGGGATGCCCGAGGTTGAATGGGCGACAATCTAAACAAGATAAGGTATTATATGAATTTTCGGCAGTGCAACATTGCGAGAGTAACAACTAAATTTCGAAATCAGTCATTTTAACTGGTTGAATCAGTATTCATATGGCAAATGGCAGGTTTAAAAGTTTATGATTAGTTAATGGACTCTTGGAACACTTATTATGTACCTCGTCATAGAAGTATTTTACGTTTTGATACCTGAGAAATGTATTCAAGGTTAATGAGAGTTTGCACGCAAAGGGAATTTTGCACATTATAGTCCTTGCGACAAGTCTTAAATGAAATAACCGATAGCAGCGTATTTAACCTACTCGTGTCTAAACTAGCTGCTGTTATTAAAATCAGTCACACGTTCTTCCAACTAGTCTTGAGCCATATTTGTTGGTTAGGGGGTTGAGTTACTTACTAATTGGTGAGTCATAGGTGGGTTGGCTCTGGTTAGAAAACGAGCGTGCAGGTCGTCCATGTTATACTTTTGGCTATAGAAAATAGCTGTTTTATGCCGAAGTCAGATTTCGTTCACAAATAACATTTCATGTCAGGTCTAGTCATGCACGTTATATTAAGTTTTATAGAGGCAGCGTCGTCAGTTAGTAAGGAGCTTCATTAGTGGAATGACAGTAGCATTGCCAAGTTTACGTTAAGTTGCTTCTGGGATTTAAGTGGCGATGAGTTTTTGCTAATTTAACATAAAAACCACTTTGAACAAACAGACTAGTGTTTTAATTGTTACATGTCCCCATTGTGTGATTTTTCTGTCAGTGGGACGTTAGCATATACAAGTTTTTCATGAATTCAGATCCTGAATCAGAACTTGCTTCTTATTGACTACATATTTGAGTACACTTGGACACGTGGTTTTATACTCAATACTAATATATATATTTGGAACATCAAACCTAGGATCCATGACTGTATTTTTATTTAAACATAAACACTCTTTTGTCCGTACATATTCAAGTATTACTAAGATCTAGTTTAAGGAACATTTTCAAACTGTATCGTCACGGCACCACTGTACACTAACTTAAAGAATAGCTACACAGACACTTGGTATTGTACCAAAGTGAAGACAAATTTTGCGACCTCCAAATACAAACAACTTGAAATAATTTCTGGAGAAAATCAGACGTACAATACAAAGAACCATACCTGTATACTGGCGAGTTTGGTGTCATTTGACATTTATCACTGGGCGAATGCTCCCGCTGACAGTTATAACAAACAGAGATACCACAGTCCAAAGCCTGACAATGCAAACGATTCGGCCATTCATTAGGTCTATAAAACGCCACTCCAGAGCATACGGGACATGGATGCAAAAACTCCTTTGTGATAATAGGAGATTTAATGAAGAAAGTCGTAAATAGAAAATAAAAGGCTGTTTCATCAGAAATTAAAAATAGTCACAACGTGCATTCAGAAATGGTTTTTGTGAGTAGCAATGCCAATGATCTAAAATGGCAAATTAATTGATTTTGGCTACGTTGGTTCCCAGAAATGTGGTCTGAATAGTAAATTAACTTTCTAAACAAACATTTGATAAATAAAATCACCCTACTATCCTAAAACAAATATTTCGAATTACAATGGGAGTATCAACATCATTACTCGCTAACCTTTGGTAGCAATTAAGCATTTTGAAAACTAAGAACAAGTGTACAAAGTGAAAATTACAAAGCTTAGTGATCAAGTAATAATAAAATCTGTGATTAGTTATCTGTAGTGCTTGTGACACAACCCGGTGTGGTAGCGACCTAATTTAACTGGCATTTTTCCATTCATAAAATGAGGGGTGTAGATGCAGATACTCAGTTCAAGAATCTAACTCAGGAGGGAATTGGTTTAAGTCACGAGTTGCATTTTCATTAATAAATAACCCTCTTTGAAGAACAGTACAACTACTATTGTCTAAAAGCATATTATATATTGACTTGGGACCAGGTGTTTCCACTACAATTATTTAATACCAACTACCCCATAGTGGTGGACTTGAAATGAGACATGCAGTTAACATATATAACTTTTGCTTTTTGCCAATCAAACTAGAACGTTGGATCCTAATGTTTCCAAGAGCTTCTGATTGTTCAAATATATCAAGAAAAATTTTGAGACATTTACAATGCACCATTGTAAAGGGGAGATCCCCTCTGCCAGCCTTATTGAAGATAAAAATCTATGATGGACCGTGGTTTAGTGAAGCCATTGAAAGTGTCTAAACACATGCTTTCTAAACTGACTGACTTATCAGAAATTTACACCATATTTCGCGAATTTGCAAACTTCATTACCTTAGTGTCAAACTTATCAACTATATTCTTGATTGTACAGGAGTTGGGACAGTTGATCGCACTCAACGGTTTACGGCTGGTTGTTGATCTCTGTGAAAACTTGGCCGAATTATCCTAAATTCAGGTTTATAAATCATGTGCAACGTACCTTTAATATCTTCTCATGCTTTCTACTAGCGGTAAACAGCCGTGGAAAGCGCAATTTCAACGAATACCAAGACTTACAAACACTGAGTACTGTAAGACGGTCAGAAATAGTCAGGTAACGGAGAATTTTCAGAAGTATATATTCCGATTTCTCAAAAGACATCAGGGCAGACAATATATCAACACGCCGCTTACCCCGTAAACTGAACGGTGAGCGAACAAAGTGAAGCAACTTACGAATTTCTAATGCCGGTACGTCCATGAACTTCTATACTTTCAGGGAAAATATCTTTTTCCGAGGTGCGGCCGGGACTAAGGAAAGTCGAAGAACGAGTACCATAACCAGTATCCTGCGAACAATCTGGAAGTGATATGGATTCACGTTTAACGCGATATGGTGTCGAAGTATTTTTTAGCAGCGGGAAGCTACTTTTCTCTTGATATTTATGGAACATCAAATGAAAATGTTAAGCAGTTTCAAAAAGGGATATTTCCAAAAACGCGCCGTCACCTAGCGTACAAAATTTCGGTACAGAAAAACCCTACAGTTAAATCATACGTAATCATAGTGAAAATATCATGATATTTATTTACTGATTTTCGAGCAATCAAGTTTAAGAGATATCATGTATATCACCATTGTCACTTATTCATTCCAAGCATATATGAATAACATCAGATGATCAGTTTCTGTCTCCATACGTTTTTACATTGATTAAAGACCTTAGGTGTATTTAATTAATATAATGAAGCCCGTCTGTCCATCCAGATTCACTAGTCCTTAGTGTTCGGACACCTGGATTAAAAGGGGGCTTTCTCCGTTTTTCCAGGGAAAGGGGACCCTAGTATTTTTGTAGTGAGGGTGTGACAAGCCACCAACCGTCATTTTGGGTTAAAATCAAATAAGCCACTTCAGCTGAACAACCTTTTTCTCCCTTACGATCCTTGTTGCGGAAGAGAATCGGTTGCAGGTATAGCAACTCCACCTCGTTAGAGCAAATCTCGTTAAAAAGTTACTTACTAGAATAAAGTCAATTTAAACGATCGGAACTCTGATCTGGAAAATGGGGGATCTTTGTATAGAAGAGTTAAGATGTCAGTTTTTAGAAAGTTTTATTCCATTTGTAGTTCTATAGCCACTGCCGATGTCAAGCCCAGGTAAGTGCGGAGGGTTGTGCTTGAGTTCATCCAGTGGAAGTTGACATACCTACCTACACTTGTTCATAATCGTATCTTTTTGTTTGAATGCTGTATTCTTACTTATGCTACTTATCTCGCTAGTTAGATCCGTTCGGGCTAACGTTATATTTAAAAACTTTTACTAATGCACTTACCAGGTTCAAATGCCTTTGACGGCCGAGAGTGGAGAGAGTTCTCTCTCTCTCTCTCAAAATGCTCTGACATTATCTGACATAACTACTGCCAGGGAAGTCCTATTCGCTGCCTTCTCGTAGCCGGGGGGTTGTTTACGAAATTGAAAGGATCAAAAGCGAATGTCCGGTGCTTTAACCAGGTTCGTTGATACGAAGGATCTACCTAAAAGAGTTAGAAAACCCTGATTCCAAACCAACATGGGCTCCAGGATCTTGAGGAAAATGGTGTATGAACCTATTGTTGGTCACCGGCTGCTATGAGACTGCATCTCCTAACGTTGCTCCACTGCCATGTGGATTAGACCTTTGGGTCAAAGGCTCGGATTGTGGCTCCCTAAGAAAACCATCTGCTTCGGTTTGGGCACCCGTGCAGTATTCCAGCCATCACACAAATCGAACGATTTTTTGTGGCACGTATGTGTTCGGTGCCTCATTGTACCGATGTTCATGTGCTTGGATAATGATAATAATAATATCTTTGGCTATGAATGTGTTCAAAGAAATAGATAAACTTGGAATAGGTTAAACCAATTGGACTCAAGCTGGACAGAACATGATAGATTCAGAAAAAATGCCGTTTTTCTCTCGTCTCGAAGAAAATGTGTAGTGGTATTGGACAATAGACACACAATTCACAAAGCTGACTGAAACTGACTCAAAGCCATCAGTACAAGAGCCATGGAATATATTCAGGCAGTTATATAATCGTGTAACTCAACCCTACATACTCTGGACTGTCCCAAAGAAAAAGAAGCACGGACATCCCTGGATAGGGCGGGATATTCGACGTTTACTAAGACAAAAGAAGAAATGCTGGGATGTTACTGTAGTGGCATTGAACTATAACCCCACTATCCTCAAAGCTGAACACGAGACTACTCAGAAAATAGATATTCAATATTTAACGCGGAGAAATACCTAACGATGGAGAAGGCGCGAATAATGAATTGAATGAATTAGAGTTGATCGAATGGCATGGCTCAGCCATGCAGGCGTGGTCCCTGCTGAATGTTACCTTATATCTTCTATTCACATTAAATATATTGTTCTTTCTCTAGCCTAACCTTGTTCTACATCATGTATTGGTAATTGATACGATACAGTGAGTTGGTGTAGTCGATGGTGTGACTTCCACGTAAGATCTTATGGATTAGGCAGTTATATCATGACAAATCTACAAATTTAGGATTAGGTCTATTATTAGAGCAGTACTAATATCATAGTAGACCATAATTCTACATTGGTGAGCCCAACTAAAGAAACGCAACCCACTACTGTTAATCCTTATTTCCACCTTAACCTTCTCAATCGGTTTCTATTTTTGTAAACCCAGTATTCGTATAGTCGTTTGAATAATGGTCACATATATTATCGTAATGTTATATCTATTAGTTCACATAACTTACTAGCTCAATCGATAATAAAAGTTCATCATCTATATGAACTTATTAGCTTTGATGGTTCGTTAACAAGCTTTAATGGCATTTACATGCTTCAGCGAAATAGACCTGTTTAAACATCAAGCTCTAGCAAATATGACCTGTAAATAGCTTAAATATACATTGACTAACAATGCAATTATGGACAAAATAGTTATCTGGATCTAATTCTCAGTGTTCCTTCACTTAACACCACATCCTGTTTTAAACTGCACTATCATGTAATATCTTTTCTTCCGACCACTGCCTGTCTAATTTCATATTCTCGAGTTCCATTGCCAAACAACAAGGATGACACTTCTCCAAAAATACGGTGAGTTCCAGCTATAAGTTTTCTGCAATCATAAGTTCATTTTAGATGGCTCATTCAATGGCACACACAGTTATCTGGATTCATTCAGTTGTTCTAATCAGAGCGAGTCCCAAAAACCTCAACAGCATCAAGCACCCTGGAAGTGATTGCCATACTGCATGTTTTATTCTGGATGCTTTCGGATCATTACTACTCCCCACGAATGGCGTTATATATGTCGTCCACTGAATAATCTAATTTCCAAAAATAATCCAGGCGAGTTAAACTATTTTACTGGATGATTTTTCTGTACTTAACATGTATGTTTTCCAGTTGCGTTTGCCACATATTTGTAAGTGTCTTTAGGCTAAATGCAGTAACTTCTTATGGAATCATATTCCTGCCTGAAGTTTCACAAGCAGTCTAAACTTTAAAATTATTTTCTGGTCATGTTCATTATTTTTAAATCGTCATATACGTCAACAACCTGCATGTTAACCTGGCCCATACCTACGTTATACTATATCTCCATGTCTTCTAAATTTAGAAATCATCTAGATCGCCTTTAACATTTATTAATGAACCCATCATAGTCGTTGTTGCTAATCGTATTTGGATTTATGGATTGGTTTATCATATTAGCAGTCTAAAATGCAAACATAGTTTAGATAATGAGATTAAAAATTTAGGTACTATCAACTGCACTAGTAAAATAACTAAATCCCTAGGTAGCTGTTGGCTAAACAAACGTTTAAAATCAAAACTCCGTAGCCTACTAAAATTAACGGTAGACGAATATTCTCGAATTGAAATTTATAATATAATAAGGTAACTCTGATTCTTTAACGCTACGAATTTCTGGTAATTTCGAGTCCCCTAAAGCAACAAGGCCTATTTTTCCACTGGCCAATCCTCAATCAACACTATAACTAGTTAAACATAATAATTTCAGGATATCGTCATAAAGCATTATCAAGACCTTACAATCACGTAATATGATTGATAATATTAATGAAACTATTAACAAAATCGGTCAGCAAATTGACTTATAATTATCACTAGTGTCGTTTTCTTTTATCTTCATTCACTACAGATAATTACAGTATGTTCCTCTATCAGTTGCTCATTCAGTAAATATCTCAAAACGTTGTCAGTCCAATTGATGGTTTAGCGACACAATCATGCATGCAAATAATCAGTATAAGCAGTCGAGCAAATCTCCTGCAAACTGAAAACATCAATGTCGAATTTACCCCAACACTGACTAAGGTTCAAGCCATTATCATAGACATGAGTTGAGTGTGTACTACCCTTGGTTACAACTTATTGTACTCCCTTATAATCAAATGCGCATCTCTCACTGTTAATCATTTTGTAAAAGCTTATTTAACCGAATACATTCTGCAGCACCACATCACCTAGTAATATGACACAGGCCTAACTGATTTCAATAACTTATAACCACTATATATCAATTAAATCGTATTCCGCCTTATGATAAACTGCATACTTTCAACTAACTTGTATACCCAATCAGCCGGCAAGTATATATATAAATAAATAGTCTGCCGCAGATCAGAACATTGAGTCTAGAGCATGTCTCTTACGAATACACTCATGTTTAACGATTTGTTCCTGGCTATCTGTCCAAAATTCACATAATTACCACTCACGTATTTAAATTTTGTTTTAATAATCATTCATGTGTATTGGTAGTATTGATAAATTCTATCACGGTCAAGTAAAAATGAGGTTGAGAAAATCTCCCCGTAACTAAATTAACCGTATCAAACTAACTGGAACACTAGTTGGAATTCTTATCCACGGTATACTTTTGTTCCTTCAGTTAGCCTACGAATACAGATGCATTTGGAATTCAACTCATATGGACAACTTACCGGCATAATCGTTATTTGATTTCATAATTTAAACCAAAACTAATACCAATATTAATATTTCTACAACATTCATTACTTTAATACTTCTAAACACAAAATACTTACTACCTATACGTTAAGTTATCAACCAACGGCTATTAACACGCATCGTTTTATTATTATTATTAATATAGTCCTATTTTTTATAGCTCAAATAATCTTCATCTAAATTTTCATTGTAAGCGTGTTAAGCATGAAGGCAGATATTTTAAAATTATTACATGTATTTCCCGACCAGATGCTGCCGTCTTCTTTTTGATTCGTATTTCAGCTTGTCATCACCCGGAGGATTCTTACTAGTCTTGGTAACCTTCGACACACTACAGTCCCATCCAATTTGGTATCGAACCAACACCACGTTGATTCTGGTGGGAGAGTAGTGTAGTGGTATTGGACTATAACCACACTATCCTCAAAGCTGAATACGAGATTACTCGGAAAATAGGCATTCAATATTTAACGCGAAGAA